GGACAATGAAATAATTCTTGTACCATAATGTATTTATATGCATACACACACATAGGTGTCTATTTGAATATAATTTGTTGGTTGGTTGGTTGGATGTATGTATGTTAGATTCTGCAAACATTCTTTCACGGATCACATGGTGTAAAGTATATTGATCCATGTTTTCATGCTCAGTGTGTTTGTGTGTGTGTATTAACTTTTGTTCAATACTTCGATGATGAGTTAATTGCTAGAAAATTTTTTTTTTTTTTTTTCAAATTTATATACTGTAAAAAAAAAAGAATTTCACCCAGTTTTATCTCAAAAAATTTTGGCATATATCAATCTGAGTAGTTAGATTACAGATATTCTACAGATATTCTGAATTTATAGCTATTTATATATAATAGAGTGAAAACGTCATTCGTCGCATCAAACTAGTCACTTTTCTTGACCAACAGGGTAAAATTAGGTGATAAAAAAAACAGGCAATTATGACTCGCCTGATAAAAAAATGGTTTCAGTTCATGCACCAACTGCACCCATTAATGTCTCATTATAAATTATTTAAATTAATCCCAGCTAGTTTAAGAAAATCAAAACAAGATTTTTCTGAACGTTTCGCTGTGTAAGCCACAGCTTCTTCAGCAGATTTATTCGGATTTTTATTAATCATTAAAATATATAGTCAAAAATTTTTTACATAAATTGAAGTCAGTTTATTTGAAGGTCATTTGTCCATGGACATTTTTACCAATAGAAAATATGTAAGCAGTCATCACATATATTTGTAATGACTAATATCAAGTTGTTGTTGTGTTCACTCTTCTATTGTTGATTTGTACAGATTAGTTTTGTTTGAGTGTGTGTGTGTGTATGTATGTTATTTGTCATGTGGAAAATACGTGAATTCATATGTGATAAACAAGATACTACATTAATATCAGTAAAAAGTTTGAGCATTGTGGATTAGATCAAATAAAGTATGATTATATTTCAATAGTTTACACACAATGATAAGATACTACATGTTTTAAAAGGTCATGGAGGCTCATAGAGTGTTTATTGTTTTTTCATCTGTCTTGCTTCATAAGAGTTTGCCATATAGGTGATAAGTCTATCCCTTCTTTCCTATTCACTGCATTCTATGTGGTTAAAATGTGCAAGGCTTCAGAAGTCAATCTTTCTTTATGTGAATGAAATCCTCTTCCAAGAATTTTGACATTGTCGAAATCAATCTTATGTCCGTTGTCTATCGCATGCATTGCTATAGCCGATCTTTTTTCTAGACTTTTTAGTTCTACTTCATTTCTAGGTGGACGTTTCGTGCATAGTCTATGTTCATTCACTCTGACCTTCATCTGTCTACTGTTCTCCCCTATATAGCATGTATCACATTCTGAACACTTTATCTTGTAGACACAATTACTTTGTGACATTTTGGGAACTATGTCTTTGACATGCACCAGCGCTTTCTCCAGAGAATTTTAGTTTTAGTTGTCATCCTGGAATATGGTACAGATATGTAGATGACACATTTATCATCATAAAGAAAGCTGAAAAAGAAAACTTTCTAACAGAAATTAACTTAATCTCAGAATATATTGAGTTTACTGATGAAGTTTTCGTAGCAGTGGTGTTTATTTTTACGGAATGGCGTCGCTAACCTCATGCTCAACCCTCCATCTTTACCAGTCTTATTACTGGCTTAGCGAGGTTTGAGAGTGCGTCGGCCGGCGATTGAACCCCGGACCATGTGCATGGTCAGCGAGTGTCCTAACCGCTGTGCCACCGACGCAGTTTATGAGACATTTCTATTTTCTTCTTTTTTTTGTGTGTAGTTTTGTGTAGTGTGACAAACTGAACTGATACACTTGTGTGGAAAGTCCTACACTGATTCGTCAGTCCACCCAGTCAGATAACATACAGGTACCAATGAAAACAAATTTTAAAAAGCACACATTGGAAATGACTTAATAAAATGTGATCTTTTGTTTTTAAAGGAATGAAATAATACTCATCTGAATGAGTTTCATAATTTGCTGCACAATGTGTTCAATATTAGGCCTGCATATATAGTCATATATATATATATATGCATATATTTCTAAATTCCATATTCTGTGGATGATCTCAGCTGCCATTTAACACGCGTTAGCTTTTGTTGACAGCTGTCATGACGAGAACTACAACATGCAAGAACTTCTGCCTAATTTTATATTTCATTTAGACATGATTTCAGCCTGTTGGTAATAACTCCTTTCAATTTCGGTAGTGATGGAAAGTAGAAAAATTAAAAAATCTCTTCACAGTAATAGACTTATTTAATGGTGCATGTTTCATAAACTTGACTATTTTGTTATATGATTTTGACTGACACCTTGAGCAGCAATCTTCGTATGTTTGGCATGCAATTCGCCCCTGTAAAATGTAAGATGATGTTGCAGGATTGGACTACACCGACTCCTAGATTAGAAATAGGAAGTGAAGTGGTAGAGCACGTTGACCGCTTCACTTACTTGGGAAGTACCATCAGCCAGTGCCAACGGGTTGATCTCCGACGAAATCTCAGCACGAATACAGAGGGCTAGTTTCGCATATGCCAGTTTACACCGTCTCTGGCGTAGACGTGATATCCGACTATCGACCAAAGGGCGTGTGTACTGCTCAACAGTCCGCTCCGTCCTCCTTTATGGCTGTGAGACCTGGCCATTGAGAGCGGAAGACATGAAAAGATTAGCTGTCTTTGATCATAGGTGTCTGCGTTCTATCTCCCGTGTGAAGTGGTATAATAAGGTGAGCAATATTGAGGTTAGGCGTCGAGTGCTAGGTAAGGAGGGGAAATCAATCGACGAGACTGTGAAATTACATCGACTGAGATGGTTAGGACATGTGTTACGTATGCCTAGTCATCGCCTTCCTCGACGGGCAATGTTAGCTGATATAGGGCCAGGCTGGAAAAGAGCTAGCGGCGGTCAAACGAAAACATGGCACCAGTCAATGAAATCCACAACAGTTAGTCTAAGCCACGTAGGAAGATGTAGACTTCCTGGTTGGGGTCCTCGGGACGGTAAAAACCAATGGTTGGAAACAATTGGTGACATGGCTCAAAATCGTTCTCAATGACTGGCGCAGATGCATCCACTCCTTGTGACTTATGATTTCCAATGAAACTGTTTTGTTCTTCGTTATTACTATTCCTTTGTCTCACACCTCTGTTTACTGTCTCTAATATGCATTTCTCCTACTTTCTTCGCTTGCTTTGTGTGCTACATGGAGTGTGGCGACTTGAACTGCCGCACATGTGTGCAAAGTTCTATGTCGAAAACAGACAGTTGTTATCTCACAGATTCTGAAGTAATTTTCATGTTTTGATTTGCAGGGATTTGATTACTTTCAAATTAAATGATGGATTAACATTAATCAGAGAACCAGTGAAGACTAGAGAGTACAGGACGACTGTTTCTTCATAATTTGGGACTATTTACATACGTACCCATTACTTAAATGAAGATGGAACCTGGGACCTTCAGGTTACGGCGCAAATTTCAATAAATCGTGAAACGACAGAAGTTAGAATCCATGAGTCATTGGATTCTGTCCCAGTGGCTGAATAGTCAGCAGACTGGCCTCGTAGTCTGAGGGTCCTGGATCTGATCCTTGGTAGGGTCATAGGTGCGTATTATTGAAGAGTCCCAGACTAGGACGAGGCAGCTGTTCAGTACTCCTTGGTTTTCAGTGGTTCTTTAGCTGATATCCATCCACGAAGTCATTTAAAATGAGGAATTATTGAATTGAGTTGTAGCAATAAGTCTAGAGATCTTCCGGCTTTGATCCTGAAATATAGGATATCGCTGGTAAGCGACTTAGGAGACACAGCGATGCAGTGAGTGAAAACTAAGTAAACAACTTCACTCGCGACTTTTCCATTGAAAATATTTAGATGACTGTTGTCGTGACACTCTCGTCGATAGTGGACATCAAGTCGACTCTAACAAAGCTTTTAAAGTTATTTATCGTACACCACCCAACCTCTCGCATGGCCTACGAGTACGCCTTTTACATACAGCAGAGGTAGTCGGAATTCATCTGAACAAGCCAAGTCTGTGTGTTCAAAGAAAATTTGTACAGCCCCTATCGTTGCCATGGCCAACTACATAATATGTATTAAGTTTTTAAAAGACGATTTTCCCCCTTCCCTTGTAACTATCTTTTGAATTTGCTAATTTCTACAATTCTAGCTAATTCTATTAACTTGTTTGTATTTTACGTAATTTTTCTTAGTCATCATTATTTTACAAATTTTTTGGTTAGATAAAAGCTTGTTGTTAACGCCTAAGAATCAACTTATCTTGAATTCCGTAATTAATTTTCACCCCTCTTTCAAAACTTAGATATCTTTTTGCTAACATCTATTAGTTAGTTTTCAAGTATTGGTTTTGTAGGGATTTTGTTTGATTGGCTGGAGGATTTCATTATGATCTAACATCAGTTAGAGAACCATAGGAAAACCAGCAGGGAGTACTGGACAGCTGTTTCGTCCTAGTCCAGGACTCTTCTGCAGTACTCACCCACCGTCAGGGTTCGAACCCAGGACCTACTGGTTACAAGGCCAGCGAGCTCGTAGACAATTAAGCCACTAGGACCCGATCCAATGGCCAGCCCATGAATTCTAATTTCTGCCAATTCATGACATAGCGTGACCACTTCGTGATTGTTTTGATGACTTTTAACCTCTTAATTTCATCCTCGTATACCTAAAACTGATTAACTTCAATAACCACTTGATTGGTAAACAGTTTTGATGTAAAAACTATATATTAGCGTAGAGCCAGCCAATGATGAGGAACTAATTGAAGAGGAGTATATTTCTTCGCTGAATCTGTTGTTTTTTCTAAATGCGTAAATGGGAATTTAGAAATTCTTTTCTTTTTTGTTCACTTATCACTTCCAGACAGTGAGTAACTAAATTTCTGAATAACCAATATCCTTCATTTTAATATATATATTTTCTTTTTCAGAATAAAGCATTCGGTAGATGTTTACTCGAAGTTGTATGTGAACGCCTCGGTGTTTTATCACATATTGCCTACTTTGGACTGCGCTACTGTGATAATAATAGTATCAATGTAAGTGTTGTTTTATGAGTTAGTGGAATTGTTTACTTAAAAATCATTTATGTATGTCAGAGACACTGTAGGCCTAGTAATTACCCTGGACTTGTAAAATAAACTTGATAAAGAGACGTGTATAGTTGATATAAGAATAGAACTTGTGCCCTGTGGTACAGTATAATTCCACTATGGGTAAAATTTATTTTGATAAAGTCTCACAGTGTTGTTATACAGTAATATTTACTGATGACGTTTCGAGCACAATTTATTACTGCTCATAATCATATCATATCTTGATATGATTATGGGTAATAAATTGTGCTCAAAACGTTATCAGGCGTGTATAGTGCTTGCTTTATTCAAGATACTCAGTGTAGTCGAAGGAGATACTGAGTTATGATGATATTTGGATAGTATTAAGGCTGTTACTTTATATCGTAACAAAACCAGGCGGCTTTTAACTCTAACCATCGTATACGGATAGAACTAAAAATGAAGTTTAAGTACAAATAATAACAATAATAATAATAATTGCTCTATTCTGAACAGTATTTACATCATGTAAATAATTTTCAGCAGAAATTATTACATAATTGTTTCTCATTGTCCAGTATCTTCAAGTAAACTAGTAACTGACAGTAAATCCACCCACGGATTTACTTTTTCTCAAATTTAATATAATCAACAGGCCTCAGACATTTTAAATATTTATGAGAGTAGAAAATACCATTAGAGGTCATAATTAAATTGATTACAACAAATTGAATAAGAGAAATGATATGGAATATAGTTGTTATGGTATATTTTTGGTAGCTCAAGTTTCAAACATGCCGCTGCAGTTTTCATCAATTAAATATCTAAAAACAAATGTAACTTGTTTTCAAAAATTTAAAACAATTAGTCCCTTTTATAAATTTGAATAGTGTTGTTGGAAGACGGAGATTATCTGAAAAATAATGTGATGTATTTGCGCTATACATTTCGAACAATCTGATCCCTCACACATTTACTTGTCAAGTCGATATATTTGAAAAAATTAAGGGCAATTAAATTAAACGAAGTGACAAAAAAAGGGTTGGTAATCCAATCATATAAGGATTACCAAGGTAGGTTAAGAGTAATAATAAACTATAATTATCGAAAAAGCCAAAAATATGCTTCACTACAAACCTCAAAAGTACACAAGTGATTATGTCACATCCCACACTATTTACCAATTTTCGTGTGCGTGTGGATACGCATACATAGGGAGGCGTAATCGTGCTTTGCATGTGAGGGTGGGAGAACATATCCCGAAATGGTTGGAAAAACAAATGAATTGTGGAAAACCAATCGACGCAGGCATCACTAGACAAGCCCTCGAGTGGAACCCGAAAGGGAAGCGACGAGTTGGTCGTCCAAGGGTGACCTGGAGGAGATCATGTGAAGAGGAATTAAAAGCGTGTGGGCAGACTTGGAGCCAGGTGAAAACTACAGCAGAGAACCGAACGCAATGGAGACGCATGGCTGAAGCCCTATGTTCCTCTAGGAATTAAAGGAAATAATAATAATAATCGACGCAGGTGTCAGACTACCAACTTCGTCTATAGCCAAACGTCTAATCGACATGAACCATAAGACTGATGTCAACTCAGTCTTTAAGATCATCTATAAAAACTGTCAAGGGCGCTTATTGAAATACGCTGAGGCTATAGCTATTCATAAACTTAAGTCCCCCTCCTGTGTATTCAAAAACACTTTATTATTACTCTTAACCTACCTTGGTAATCCTTATTTGATTGGATTACCAAACGTTGTGTTAATCATTCTTAAATCCTTCTTTTTGTCACTTTGTTTAATTTAATTGCCCTTAATTTTTTCATATATATATTGACTTGACAAGTAAATGTGTGAGGGATCAGATTGTTCGAAATGTATAGCGCAAATACATCACATTATTTTTCAGATAATCTCCGTCTTCTAATAACACTATCCAAATGTAACTTGATTTAGAGAAAAGTAGATTTGATAGTGAAGTAATGGTGTATTCTTGTTCAAATGCACTATATGCTCACTAAATTAGACAGCACAATATTCTACACTTTAATTCAGCCTAAATGAGGCAAATTTATAGTTTAAACAGTTCATGTAAATCCTTTATTTTCTATTAAGAATTTGAATTCAAAAGGTGGGCTGAATCTTTCCTGGTTATTTAAATGCTAAAGAAGTTGGAATATGGATAAACGATTATGTGAGAGTTAATACCAATTTTCCTAACATCGTGTTCATGACTGTTATTTCTACCTCCTGTTACTAGAATAAACTTATTCACTTCTTATTCTAGTTTGTTATGAATCTGAAACTGCTTCCTCATTCCATTCAAAAGATTAGTAATATAGTATTTTCAAAGTTTAAAATGGCGCGTCATGAAGAGCACTTCGAACAAACTATAGATCTTCATCAACAGCTGTCTTGGCTCAATACCAATCAAGATCAGATTGCTGGCCAGAAAAGATCAGCAACAGGGATCTCTGGGGGCGAACCAACCCATCAGGAACCAGTTGTGCAAGAAATATGCAGGAAGAAATGGAGGTGGATTGGCGATACTCTCAGGAAACAAACCATCAAGTGACATCACACTACATGCCATTCCTCGAGTGGAACCCGAACGGGAAGCGGCGAGTTGGTCGCCATTTCGAGGTTGATATGGAGGAGGTGATGTGAAGAGGAGATGAAAGCATGTGGGTAGACGTGGAGCCAGGTGAAAACGTTGGCAGAGAACCGGACGCAATGGAGACGTGCGGCTGCAGCCCTATGTTCCTCTAGGAACTAAAGGAAACAATAATAATAATATAATAATAAAGTTTAAAACTACATTAAGTCGATGTATACAATTCTATTAATTTCAAAATATTTCTGTTCATTGTTCATTAATGCTTATTTCCATTTTATTTATGAATTTTCATTAGCAATGGCTCAATTTAAATGACAAAGTTTATAAACAGCTTAAAGGTGAGTTTGTCAGTTTACACTAAATGAACGTTTTCATTATTAAATATGAAGTATATAGGTATATTTTTTTGACTACATGTATTTTGTAAAGATTGTATAAGATGTACATAGTACCGACTAATTTATTTAGTTTGTATATTATCACTATTTTGTCAGCGAAAGGAAATGATATTCGATGTATTTCTTATTTTTTTTGCTGAAGAACTTTTACTAAATTTGTTTATGTGGCTGTCCTTTACAGAAGTTTTAATGAAATGTCACTGAGTATTCAGGGGTAGTAGTTTTATTCCTTCTAGAAAGAAATTCGATTATAAGGGTAGCATGTTTGAATTAGTAGCATCCGCAGTCTTCATGCTGTTTCGGTTGGAAATTAATCAAGTGACCTACATGAATTCTGCATGTGGACAGAACAGATAGGCCGAATGGATTACATATTAAAGCCTTATGGTGGTGACTGAGAATTTTAAGGTTCAAATTTCTGTGTTGTTTGAGTTTCCGATGTAAATTTGATTATCACATTGTCAGAATCAAATAAGATCAAGCCGGTTTGATATAGCCTAATCAAGGGATTCAATTAACCGTGATACTAGTGACATTTACGAGTATGTACTACAGGTAACGTGCGTCGGTGGCACAGCGGTAGAATGCTCGCCAACCACGCCACACGTGGTCTGGGGTTCAATCCCCTACCGACGCACTCCTTTATCTCGCTAAGCTCGTAATAAGACTGGTAAAGATGGAAGGTTGAGCATGAAGCTAGCAACCTCATCCCGTAAAAGTAAACACCACTGCTACGGAAACTTCAAATCTCTAGCTTGAAGGGGTTCTATGTTCCACTGGGAACGTAAAGGAATACTTGAACACGACTACAGGTAACTGTGTGTCGGTGGTTCACTAGTTGAATGATAGAGTCAACCATCCATGTGATCAAGGTTGATTTTCCTGCTGACGCACTCCTAAACCTCTGATGATTTTGCGAGACATAATTTGGTTTGTGAAAGTGGTTTGCTCTTAAGAACACACGGAATATTATCAGCTTTGAAGTGCTTAATAACGAATCCTTTCCAATCATATGAAGATTACAGTTTCATATTTCCGTATACATCCTGTCACTAAATGCTACCATCTGAAAAATCATTACAATTCCAGAAGTATTAGATAGATCTTCTATTCCCATTTAGAGATGTTGAATGGTAAGAACTTACAAGTTTACTGGGAATTGAATCTCAAGACGTCGGTCTTAGCAGCCGATGCATTAACGTGCATTTGGTGAGTAGGAATTAGATGATCTGTACTTCTCAGCTAAGGCTGATTCGCGATTTAATGCAGCCAACATGTTTCGTTGATGCAGAAGTTACTTGCAGGAGAGATTATGTTGAGCATATTTTTTTCTATACTCTAGTCACCACATATTAAATTAAAACGATGGATTTGTGATTCATAATTCATGAAGTATGCTGGAACAAGTAAGGAATACGAAGACGAAATGGAAGTTCACCCCAAGAAATTATGAAATACTTGTATTCTAACAGATTCCTGAATTCGCCACAGGCTACATACTTAGGGGTTATTTTGACTGTATTCGGTGTTATAATCTAAACGATAATAATGAAAAGTTCTGTGATGATCTCTGAGGACTTCCCATGAAAATAAGTAAGAAGAGACATACTTATGCAACTTGTACTACAACCACCTTTTCTGTGGTTTGAAGTGATTGCATATTTTATATCCGCGGTGGACTTGCTAGCCGCACACGTTTTATTCTCGGCTTAGAAGTGAGTAGTAAACTAGGCAAGGAATACCGCAAGCCTTCGTAAATGTCTCTCAATAGCTGTATAATGGTGCCACATACTAAGTGATCCACGATGGAAGTGAAATCAGGAGAAAGACAGGGCTGTCTACTACCATTGGTGATCTTCCTCTTTGTGGATCATACAGAGGACCACGTAAAGTTAGAAGACAGACGTACTTCCCACTGACAAAAGGACACTAGAAGATCTAAATTTTGCTCGTGATGCATGTCTTATATGCACAAACTCGAAGAAATATGAGAAAAAACCAACTAGTTGACTTCAAGTGAACATAGAGAATTACCAATCACAATGAACGGAATTTAATCTAAAGGACGTTATTCCTTTTACTCACCTAACATAGGCAGTTTCTTTTCAACTACAGTCAACATGGATAACAGTATCAAAAACAGGATCAGAAAGTCAAGATAGAAGTTCCTTACTCTGAAATCAGTGTGGAGATTCACAGCACTCACCACAAGGAACAAGAGCGGAACTTTCAACACTAATGACAAATCAGTGTTTCTGAGTAGTTTAGAGACTTGATGTACCTGTCATGAAGAGTATTTCCAACAGGTTAAAGTCTTATCAACAGCTATTTTTGAAGCTTCGATACTGAGGAATGGATGACTAGTCAGAAAGAATAAGTGACAAGGAAGTCCAGCAGCAAACCTGCTAAATACTTATGGCTGACCCAGTGAATATACCAAATAGTAATAACATTCAGTCACCTTTGAAATTCAAGATCCAAGAATATCCAAAGAATAATCTAAGGACAGTTATCCGTAGCTGGCTGTAAGAGGTTTAGTTTGTGAACCTGTCTTACAGACAATCTGCACACTTACTCCTATTACTGACAGTTAGGGAAGAGTTTATTTGGTCCTAAGAATCGGCGTACTATTTTACCGATACTGATTATTTGCTGTGCAAACTAGTTTCGTTGTTAGTCTTTACACCATTTATGTACTCACTTTTGTATGATTTTTGAAACAATTATAGAAAATTAATTTAATTTTTTTTTCTATCCATAGAAGTCAAAAACTCTACTCTGTGCTTTCGATTCATTTACTATCCGAATAATCCGTTGAAGTGCTTTCCTAATGAAACCATCAGGTAACTTATTTGCGATGTCTATTTTAATGTAATAATATATTGTCTAACTGTATTATTGTAATTCTTGCCAAAATGTGACACATATAATGTAGTTCATCCTAGTGAGTGAGAATGATACACTTATTTTTACAGAAAAAGTATGAGAATCTTCAATGTTCATCTTATCGTGATAAAAATTTTGGTTTTAGCTGAGATTTTTTGACCTTTTTAATCTTGAACTTGGTTTGGAAGTCCATAATCTAAATTTGTAATGAAGAATTTTTTCTCCTAGCTAACAGGAGGGTCAACACACTCATTTATTACATTTAATTATAAAGTACTAAAATCTGTGTCGTACTCACTTTTACGTTGTTGTTAATTTTTCTATTGTTCTCTTACTTCATTTTTTACACAGTGTTAACTTTTTCTAGGCATATTGTTCAAGTTTATTCATTATAAGGTAGTCCTTAAACAGGGCGTAGAATGGTAGTCAAACTTCGATCTCAACTTCATCCACTTTGAAAGGGCCTTCGACAGTGTTGACCGCGAAGTAATTTGGAAACTACTTCAACATCATGGAGTGCCTCAAATCTTTATCAACCTCATTCAACAGGCATATATGAAAATGCCACACGTCGAGTAATCCACAACGGAAAACTCGACAAAGTCTTTGAAGTGAAGACAGGAGTTAGACAAAGCTGCCTACTATCACCAATGATATATCTGACTGTAGTGGACTGAATAGTGCGGCATACCTTGATGAACCACAAGACAGAAATACTCTGGACCGATAAGAAGACTCCAGAAGATCTGGATTTTGAGGATGATTTGTGTTTAATGTCATACAAACTCGAAGATTTACAGAGAGAAACCAACAACCTGGCAGAAGTAGCAGTGAATATAGGACTTCAAGTGAACATAGAGAAGGCGGAGGTGATGAAAGTAACTAACCAGCTACAACAACAACAAGCACTAATCATTATCAGCGGAATAAATTGAAAGAGGTCACTTTTTCCACGTATTTGGGCCTCATCGTCTCAACTACAGATGGCACGGATGAGGATTTCAGAGGCAAGATCCTAGAAGGAAGTCAGACATTCATCACCCTGAAATCATTATGGTGATATGCTTCAGCAAGCATAAAAAACAAGATTTAGCTTTTTAGAACTAATGTCAAAACGGTCCCCCTATATTGTTTAGAGATTTGTCGCGTTTCGAAAAGCATTTCGAATAGGTTGCGGACTTTCATCAACTTCTGCCTTCACCACACAATGAAGATCAAGTCGCCAGAAATGATTAGCAACAAGAAACTCTGGCAACCAACTAACCAACCAGCCAAGAACCTATTGCTTAACAAATAATCCGAAGAAAGTGGAGACCGTTGAGTGACATCGCGCGCCACGCAAACCCTCATGTGAAACCCGAATGGGAAATGACGAGTTTGGTGTATTTCCGAGGGTAACATGGTGGAGATCGTGTGAGGAGGAGGCAAGAACTCATTGGCAGTTGTGCAGCCAACTAAAGACGATAGTACAGAACAGGGAGATATGGTGATGTCCTGCTGAAGCCCAATGTTCCGCTCGAAAACCGGTTGAATAGTTTTAATAATTCTGCATTTTTCAACAGTTATTCCCTTTTGGGGTAAATGTCTTTTTAACAGATGATGTAATTGTCTGTTTCCAGTGAAATGGTTGGATATAAGCTAAGTAAATCTTGGTGTTAATATGGTGCAAGTTCAAGCTCCTGATTATGTTTCCAGAAATGTAAAGAACAATTAGAAAATAGGCTTTTACAGAAATGGAGATACAGTCACTAATTCTGCTTAAGAACTTACTCAGTAGATAAGCCTACATAAATGAACAGCATATCTCATATAAATAAAACAGTTAATGGATCAAATTTTGTTATGGTGCCACTGATCTCACGTGTACCTAATTCTTTTAGTCTGTTGTCTACGTCATCGTCAAGAATGGTGATAAAAATATCACTTCTGTATGACATTATGCTCTATTTTGTTATTTGCGACTTTTTCAGCATAAATTTGATCTTTTAAGATGCTTACTTTACCTTAGAACGATCAGATCTCCGCTTTCGTAGTACACCAGATACTGTATTTTACTAGTTGCCATGTGAAGCACTGCTTTATTCTTCTCTTAACATCAGAGGACAAATTTATTTAAGTGAATTTGTATTTTCCATTGATTCACTGTATTGAGCCGGAGTGTTTAATCTCTGCATACATGTCGGTCATTTAAAGGGACTCTTCGACTATGTTTGAAGATTAACAAGATTTTATTTGGTTGATAGCAGCTGGCGGTGGAATCCAGGCTATGCATATGATCCTACTTGGGACGCGTCAACTGGATGAACTTGCATCTCCAAAGAGTGATGGATAGTATTCCGCCCCCCCCCCTCAGACTCTCACCCAATACCCATCGTTTCAAACGTCAAGGTCAGGTTCAAATCTCATTGAAAGCATCATCCATTACTCACTAGGGATGCAGGTACATCCACCAAATGAGCCCCAACTAGAACGAAAAGCGCATCCTGAATAGCACTGCTAGCCACCATCCGTCAAAAAACATCAGAAAACAAATTTTCTGCACACTGTCTAAGCTCAGTAGTACGTTGTAAATTCTTCTAGTGGAATTACTTGTTGAGAAAGTTGTAAAATAAATAGTTATTTGGATATCATTTGCTCCATTACAATCAACTACTTTGAATAAAGCTTACGATTTCGATGTTTTATGTTTAGTTATGTATTTAACACTTAAATCAAAATGCTTACCGAACTACAGTATTCTGTTGTATTCCCCACTTGTCACCCACCATATTGGCAGTAAAATTGCATATTTTCAGAAACTGTGAACATGCAAACCTTCGTGTAGTTATAGTCACATATGTTTATGACATCTGTGTAGAACTAGGAAGAAAATATTTACGTGTTAGACGCAGCAAGTATTTTAAGCCTTCTGAATAGTATAACTTCTGCTAAACATCACATGGTTTAAAGTTGTAGTGTTATTCACGTGACATTCAACCAGATTAAAAATGTACATAAAAATTGTGCCGTAAAATATTTCTAAGACATTCAACATTTTTAATCATTCAGTGGATAATCTGTAGGATGATTTATGCCTGAAACATATTTCTAAAAAGAAAGAAAAAACTGTCATCAAAGAAATACTTGCATTATCAATCTATTTCTCGATCTCTGCCAAGTTGTTAGGTGTATTTTTGACATTGCATGTTATCTATGGACTTTAGATTCCAATGCATTAAATCCATATGGGTAGGTTGAACTATCAGTCATTCTGAATTGGAGCTGAGTGCATTGTTCACTGTACATTAGTGATTCACTGGTAGACGGTGGACTTCACCGACCCCTAGATTAGAAATAGGAAGTGAAGTGGTAGAGCACGTTGACCGCTTCACTTACTTGGGAAGTACCATCAGCCAGTGCCAACGGGTTGATCTCCGACGAAATCTCAGCACGAATACAGAGGGCTAGTTTCGCATATGCTAGTTTACACCGTCTCTGGCGTAGACGCGATATCCGACTATCGACCAAAGGGCGTGTGTACTGCTCAGCAGTCTGCTCCGTCCTCCTTTATGACTAGCTGTGAGACCTGGCCATTGAGAGCGGAAGACACGAAAAGATTAGCTGTGTTCGATCATAGGTGTCTGCGTTCTATCTCCCGCGTGAAGTGGTATAATAAGGTGAGCAATATTGAGGTTAGGCGCCGAGTGCTAGGTAAGGAGGGGAAATCAGTCAACGAGACTGTGAAATTACATCGACTGAGATGGTTAGGACATGTGTTACGTATGCCTAGTCATCGCCTTCCTCGACAGGCAATGTTTGCTGGTATAGGGCCAGGCTGGAAAAGAGCTAGTGGCGGTCAAACCAAAACATGGCACCAGTCAACGAAATCAACAACAGTTAGTCTAAGCCACGTAGGAAGGTGTAGACTTCCTGACTGGTTGGGGTCCTCGGGATGGTAAAAACCAATGGTTGGGAACAATTAGTGACATGGCTCAAAATCGTTCTCAATGGCTGGCGCAGGTGCATCCACTCCTTGTGACTTATGATTTCCAATGAAACTGTTTTGTTCTTCGTTATTAGTATTCTTTTGTCTCACGCCTCTGTTTACTGTCTCTAAAATACGTTTCTCCTACTTTCTTCTCTTGCTTAGTGTGCTACATGAAGGGAGTGTGGCGACTTGAACTGGCGCACATATGTGCAAAGTTCTATGTCGAAAACCGACCGACCGACCGAGACGACTGCTCGCTAACCACGCAAGTGGTTTGACGTTCAATTCCAGGTCGATGCACTGCTTAACCTCACTTAACCGGTAGTAAAGCCAGCAAATAGGGAAAGTTAGGCATATGACTCTAGGAACCTCACCTCGTAAAAGAGAAAATCACTGCTACTGAAACTTACTGAAACTTGCAGCCCTATGTTGCACTGGGAAGGAAAAGAAGCTTTTTTAAAAAAATGAAATCACTCATTGTTCACTAGTTCAAGTCGAAGTGAACTAACCTACAACTGGTGACGAGTAGGTCAGTATTTCCTACAACAGTGATTGGCTTAAATTCAACTGCTAAGAAATAAATATATTACATGGTTTCAGTCATTGTGTTCTCATCATTAAGGTCTGAATTATTTCAAAATGCTGCCTAAATATCTACGCAAATTACTACTATTTATTTTTCATACATAAGTAGGCGGATACTTTTTCTTTATCTGCTATAATCACACTGAACAAAACTGTTGAATTCATTTACAAATCACATCTTCAAGCCTTTTTTCATTTCTTGTAGCTTGAACGCCTACATATAAATTTATCTTCAGGAATATATTCGAAAAGTAGCTTCTATATATATACATGAAAGTATTTGTAACTTTAGTGCGGCAAGTGAATAATTGTATGCCTGAAAAAAAACAACTATCAGTTGAATTAATAGAAAGTTTGTTAAATTGCACAGTAGATTTGTGTCAAAGTTGGCAAAAAAAATCTCCGACTCTTGTTTAAAACGAAAATCACTTACAAGTTTGAATAATTTTAAAGCTTTGCAATAACAACCCTAAAACCTTTTAAGTATTCAAAGATTATTATGAGCTTTCGATATATGGCAATGACTAGAGTTGTATCAAAACACCACATTGTGTTGTTTGAAACTGTTCTAGAAGGATGTAGACGATAAATTATGCTGATGAGTGCCAACTGGCACGAAACCTAGGTCCAAGGCTTCCTGCCGATTGCCTCCAACCACCTAATACCAACAATGCTGTCAAACTAATTTGTCTTGAATAGAAGGTTTTTAGATATGCTAAGATAGAGTGTGATATGCACGTGAAATTATTGAGTGAATTAGTAGTATACTATTGTGATGGTAATAATAATAATAATAGAGCAAAGTTTCCCAAATTAAAAGGAGACTGGTCAAATTTACAACTAGCAAAGGAATTCATGATTTGTAAGTTACATAACTCGAGGTAAAAGCTCACTACGGTTTCCTCTGGAAATCAGAGTTATTCAGATAGGAATATGCGGGTGATCTGTTTGATATGGTAAATGGCACTTAAGTGCTGGCTGGTCAGATAAAAGTGATCATACATCGGAGCACCATTTCACTTATTTTGAGCCTCAGTTCATCAGCCGTGTACCTAGTTTGACTCGGCTGAGACAGCCAAATCCCTACAAACCACTTAAATTCTGGCTAGCGACTTGGTCGAACTGGTATATTTGGGTTTGAAGAATCTCGGTTACTAAAGGAAACTGTGGTAAAATTCTACCATACCACGTAATTAGCTATCGGGAATTCCGGTGGTTTGAAGTTCTTTGAGCCGATTTTGACCGAGATTCGAATTTTCAACACCAATTTTAAGTCAGTCAGCTCTTCTGTATGGGTTACGGTAGACTGTGGGCAGCAAGAAGATACAAATACGTTGAACCAGTTATAGGATTCCAGAAGATATGGACTTCGTGGACGAATTATGTCTAACGCTACATAAGGTTGAAGACTTACAGGCGTAAACCAACAGTTTTCGCAGAAAAGGCCAAAGGAGAAATCAGGACTTCAAGTGGACATAGAGAAGATAAAGGTACCAAAAACTATCAGCGGAAAAATTTGAAAGATATCACTTCCTTCACTTGTCCAGGTGTCGTAGTTCCAACTACAGGCACCATCACTGATGAGGATATCAAAAGCGGAATTGGAAAGGTGAGGAAGACCTTTATAACTCTAAAATCAGTCTGCAATCAGCATAAAGAACAATATTCGGATTTTCAACAACAATGTCAAGTCAGTCAGCTTTTCAATATGGGTCAGAAACCTGATTCATCTGTTATGGAGAGCATTTCCAACTGGTTTCAGACTTTTACCTACAGCTGCCTTTGCTCCATATTGCAGATCAAGTGTCCAGAAAGAATCAGCAGGAAAAAACAAACCAATGAAGAACCTATCACTCAGCAAATATTCCGAAGAAAATGAAGATGGACTGGATAAACTCTGAGGAGACCGCGTCAAGCTATCGCTCGAGTGGAACTCGAATCAGAGACGACGAGTTGGGCATATATTTGGGGGTGACATGGAGAAGACTATGTGAGTAGGAGGTCAGGGACTATGGACATTCGTGGGACCAGCTAAAGAGCACCGGAGAAAGCAGAAGAAAGTGGAGACGTGCTGCTGAAGCCGTATGTTCCAACCGCAACCCAAATAAAAAATAATAATAATAAAATATTGGTGGTGTCTGGTAAGGAGAATCGTAGATTAATAACAAGTGTCTGCTTCATATATACCAGCTAAACTATACTTATGCATATACGTGTATATTTTTAATACTTTTAGACATTTAATTTATCTTCAACTGAGGCGGGATTTCTACGCTGGTCGACTAAGAACTCAAGCGTCGAGGACTTATGAATTGGCGGCTTATGCTATACAAGGTAAGATAATAACACATATATCTATAAATACATATGCGTAGTGAAAAGTCACATCTCAGAAAGTGGACTTTTAATAGCGCTGTCTGGTGCCAATGCTTTTTGCGACGGCATCAGAGAAGAAGCCTAGATTGACAGTGACTATAAATACTTAAGAATGGAGAGCTACAAAACTATGTATGCATATATGCATATATATTCAAGAAGGGAATTCGTGGTGAATTTTAAATGGTTTTTTATTGTTAGTCATTTAAACCTAAATTGTGCTGAATATAAGTTTTTCAGGGTGTAAGATTCAATACTGAGCTATTCAAACTTTATTAACATTCCTCGTAAATTGATATTTGACACAATCAATGTCTATACTTCATCACCACTTTGGCCAGTGAGATGTGTTAGTTACAGTATTGTATTATGTCAGTAGTGGTCGTCATTATATGGAAGAACCACAAAAGGAAAATTTAAGTCTTTGAGTATGATGCATAAATTTTAGGCCCTAGAGTGGAACCCGGAAGGTAAACGATGAGTTAAGCATCGGAGGATGACATGAAGCAGATTGTGTGGAGAGGAGATGAAAGCTTATGAGCAGTCGTAGAACCAGCTAAAAGGGACTGCAGAGGACAGGATGAAGAGGAGATGTATCCTTTTTCCCACTCGAAACCCAAGGAAATAATAATAATAGTAATTAAATTATTGATGTAAAGTTTCGTATGACGTGGTAGTGATGCTAAACTTCCAGGATGGTGTTATTTCTCCAACCGATTAAAAATAAAATAGATTGTACCGTTTTACAGTACAAGCATTTTCATGCATGAAAACATGAGGTTTATTTGAAGTATTTCCCATACAATCTGCCTGTGTTTATTCAAGGTTCAAGTTAATTTGCTTAGCTCAGAATTCTCCCTTCATCTATGAATCTCAAATTAACTTAAGTGCAAGGCGGAATGACTTATCAAATATGCATTCATGTTGTCGAAAATTCACATTTGGGGAAATAATGTAGTAATTAGTTTTGGTGATTGACTTTTGAAATGAATACCTACGTTCGGTGTAATAACCAAGACCCAAGTATTTCGGTCTGAACGCAGTAATCCCCGGAGGCGTTTTTCTGTATAGCTTACCAAATTTCAGCATGCGTCGTACAGTTCAAAATTATATTCCAATCATATCAAAGGCATTTCTGTGCAATAGTAAACGACTCCGTACGGCAGCTATATAGTCTAAAAGTTTCAGAGGAACAAAATACGTGTTACGGGATTTCATCATTAGCTGACGTCGGTCAGAGAACCATTAGAAAGCCTGGGAATACTGGACAGCTGTTTCTTCCTAGTTTGGGACTCTTCATCAGCACACACGCACACGGGTGGTTCGAACCCAGGACCTTCCGGTTACGAGACTATTGGATCGAGGCCTAGTGGTTGAATGGTCTACGAGCTCACCTGGTAATGTAATCAATCAAATCCCTGCAAACCAGCACTTGAAAATACGTTTTCTACAACAAAATTAAGTGACTATGTACAATGTTAAGGTAAATGAGAATCAATAAGATTATTCCCAACAAGGTGGGATCAAAGTTCTGCCTGCAAGAATAAAACAGAAGAAAATATGTTCCTCCAAAACGCATTGAAATCAAGCAGTTACTCCAGGGAGTAACCTTGACTTCCGCCAAACAAAAACGCAGTCACAAAACAACGTATTATCGTTATCATATCACACAACGGTGAAGACAAGTATTGAAACTAGGAATCAACCAGACAAAAAAAACAAATAATTAGGGTTTATATCAATAGGAGATATGAAAACCTTAGAACACTAATATACAGATTAGAGGAAAGGGGTAGTAATTACATAATTCGTTAAAATATTCACACAAGTATCAACATAGTAATTGGATTTTTCATGGAGAGACAGTCAAGTCAGTTATTTTGCCACAGTGGGTGCAACAATTCATTCAATGCATACACAGTTAAGTCCGCGCTCATTTATTCAAATTTTGACTTTGACAGATGGCAAGTCCCAGATAGGACGAAACACTCATCCTTTATTCGAGTGCCAATCGCCACCCTCCAAATTACTTCGATAGCACATTTTATGGAGTTTTTAATTATTACTGGAGTAACCAGAAAGAAATCTAAAATAGTAAAAGTTGTTTTGGAGGAACTAGACGTAAAAACTCAACGAGGGGAACAGCAACAGATGCGGCAAATTATTATTATTGTGAACTACTGCATTTTCACTGTTCTCTATCGAAAATAAGTAAAAGAAAGTTAGATAGTGCAGGAAGTTATGTCGGAAGTCGTACATACCCTGCTGAGGTGACGGATAACGAAACCTTGACGTGAAGTTAAAAGGTGTTGTTTCCATTTTATTGATTTCCTTTCTTCAAGGACAACGATTGTGTTAAAAGCTAAAGTTATCGTACGGCTACTATATAAATGTGAGACATAGTCCATAAGAATATGCGATTGTAGAAGGCCATGGATAGTTGAGTACTATCACATTGACTATATCACTTGTCTGTCGTTGAAACAAGATTCACTTAACGTAAAAGTTAAGCATGGAAAAGCTTGTTAAGACAATCAGATGACACAGCAGTTGATTTCTATAGATCGAAATAGCCAGAATGTATATGGGCAGACTGCCTCCCTCACTACGGGGCTCTGTAGTAGGTGACATATGTTTGTTTCTATTGCATAACAGTTGAATCTTAACTGATGTATAACAGGCAATATTAGATTTGTGAAAAAGCGTAGATTTTCTGTTGGCAGACTATATAATCCATGAACCTGTAGATAAGAAAAGAAGTCTTGTGGGAACACAATGATAACGGAGTGAAAGTATGCTACCGAACTACTACTGTTTTAGTTATTCATTATATTGATTTTCCTTTCCTCCTTTTTAAAAAATTACCTTCTTGAAAAAAGCTGAGCATGGTTTAACAGAAATACCCCAAGGATTCAATGTGGATACTATTCCTGGTGGTATGCGTGTTCTACCCTGTTTAACAACAGCCATTATACGAGGAATTAAGGCACATCTTAAAACATGCATGTGAGTTTGATTGATTGTCATAAAGTTGTTTTATTGTGCCTAGTTTGTTGGTCTGTTTGTTTGTTTGTTTGATTTTCTGTTGAGAAAAAATGTTTACTCACTTTTGTGCAGGTAGATTTCTTCATCTTTTTGATTTCTCTCTTTCTTATTCAACTTGCTACTGAAGTGTAAAATCAATGATCACTTCAATCTCACTAATTGAATTTAGAGATATTAACTATTCGCACTTTGATTTATGATGTTCAGTTATTTCATTTATTTATTTATTTATGCTGCTACTGCTGCTCTTGTTGTTATTGTTGTTATATTGTTCTTACTAGTCCTTAGTTTTCACATTAGACTGAATATTTAGTATTTTCATAAATTCAGACAACAGAATTAGTCAAGAGTACAAATGTGATCCAAGCGTTCCCTTATGCGCTTTGAATGAAGTATATTTGAAATGAAAAATAAAACACATTTAAGTTTTTGGCAACACAAAGACCCTGAACTGTGTTTTAGCTGTTAGGTTTGTTTTTAAAAAATCGTAATGTCATCTTACATAACTCACTACTATATTTGGCTGAGCATTTTTGTCGCCTGTAAGAAGTTGACGGATTGTTTATTGCTAAAAATAGACTAATTGCTAGCTAGCTGTTTTGTTTTAGTGACAACCATCTTTTGGTCATTTAGTCTTGCAATAGATGTGCACACAAAATAAGTATAATCATTTGATATTGTTGATGATTTCCAACTCCAATGTGAAGTCAGTTCTACTCACTACACGGATCGGACTTGGCGTGTCATAAAGAGCATCTCAAACAAACTACAGACCTTCATTAACAGCTGTCTTTGCTCAATACCAATCAAGATCAGATGGCCAGAAAAGATCAGCAGCAGGGATCTCTGGGAGCGAACCAACCAGGAACCGATTGTGAAACAAATAGGCAGGAAGAAATGGAGATGGATTGGCTGGCCATACTCTGAGGAAACCATCAAGTGACATCACTAGACAAGCCATTGCTCGAGTGGAACCCGAAAGGGAAGCGGCGAGTTGGTCATCAGTGCAAGGGTGACTTGGAGGAGGTCATGTGAAGAAGAGATGAAAACGTGTGGGCAGACATGGAGCCAGGTGAAGACTCTGGCAGAGAACCGAACGCAATGGAGACGTACGGCTGAAGCCCTATGTTCCTGTAGGAATTAAAGGATACAATAATAATAATGATTATTCCCTTGGAGTCCTGAGTGGAGCATATGGCTTCAGCAGTAAATCTCCCTTTTTTGTTCTGTTCTCCACAATTACTCTTAGCTGGCTCCACGATTACCTATAAGCTGTCTTCTCCTTTTCACACGATCTCCTCCATGTCAACCTCGGACCTACACCTAACTCGTCATTTCCTATTACAGTTCCACTTTAGGGCGTGGCGCGTCATGCCACTCAACAGTCTCTTTAGCTTATATTCAATAAATCTCCATTTCACTGATATCAGAATAGAAATCGGGCACAGCACAATTCCATCACAGAATAAATTTATTTGATGAAACCAGGCAGCGTTTTGAGCACAATTTATTGCTCATAATAGTGAATTATGCTCACTCAAAAAGGTCAAGAATATGTGACTTTATCAAATAAATTTACTCTATGATGAAATTACATCTCCATTCTTTGGGTTCTTATTTAAGTTCGTTTCCACAGTTCCTTGTTGTTAATTCTTTCTCATCGGTCATCTATCTGATCATCAGTATGGAGAGAAGGCAGCAGCTGTTGACTGAAATTCTTCAGCCTGTGTTCACCTGATATTTTATCATGTGATATTGTTGAAATCAATTTCCCCTCGTACGGATTATTTCGCCTTATTCACTTATTTTAAGATGCATTAACCAACAAATGACACGTTTGGCTCATAGGCATGCAATGTGTGTGCATTCTTTATAGTGAAAAAAAGTATTATATAGACTAAATAAAGTATGTCAAAAATTCAGCATTCTACACACACAAATTCAACATCTGTTTCAATCATATCAAAAATGCGTAGTAGCTACTTGTTAATAATTTCTACTTCGAATAGAAATTTCAGCTGTTTAGGCCTCTTTCTCACCGGTAAAGTTAGAAAAAAATAGGGGAGAAGCAGAAGAATGACATGATCCTGAAGCAAATAAAAAAAAATGATAATAATACGTAGGTGAAATCTATGAACACACTTCACTGACTACTGCTTGCTTATATGTTAATAAACCGGAATTTCTGTAAATTAATTTATTTTATCTTGACTTTATATACATATTCTATGTCTGAGCTTCATAAAAAATTTAAAAGTAACAAACATGAGCCTAATTGGTTACTACTTTTAGACATACTACTAAAATTATAACCACGGACGTATTGTGTTATAGCTGACCCTGTCAAGTAATTTTAGCAGTAGAAATTACATTGGGGGTTAACATTCACTATCTGTCTAGTCTAGTGAGACAGCATGAAAGTTGTTTATCAGATGTTTAACTTTATATTGAATAACTTCATTTCTTCAGTGAGTGAAAAAATCAGAGTAGAAAGGACGATTAGACAAGAAGGAGAAGTTAAAATTTCATGAATCTAAAGGATGTCAGAAATGAAAAAGAAAGAGGCGAAGTTGAACAATAGCGCGAACGCTTCAGTGACCTTGAACGCATGCCAGTCATTGGCTAACGACACTTGTCATTATCAAAGAGGAAATGTCAACGCTATTCACCAACTAAGGACCGAATTTCACCCAGATAATGTTTTTAAGTAGTGTTTGGTCAATCTTCCAATAGCTCGTTAGAGCTAAGGTCGGTATTACGGTTAGGTTTAGGATCAGGGTCATAAATAGGATTGTAGTTAGGATAAGAATTATAGTTAGGATCAGGATTGAGGTTAGGGTTACGATTAAGGATAGATTTAGAGGTGGTATTGTTTATTTTCATTTGTTTCATTATCCACATTTCCCTAGTAAGTAGTCGTCAATCCTCTTACTGGGAACTATAGTAATTCAACCGAGTATTTTTGGGAAAGACTAGAAAACAGGATAAGAGCGATAAGCGTGTCAGGAAAAAATCTCACCTTAATTCACCTCAGTGAATACATGTACAGAAACTGGTCTAATTTAAAAACTGATACTCCTCATCATAACTGGGATGTATTTTTAAGTCATGTCAGAGAAAGATATCCTGTTCAGTGTGCCTGCACGCATTTTCTTGTAAATAGATGCATTTAATGTGCGAAAATAACTTGATTTTATGGTTGATCAGCTCAAAGTCACTCGTGCGTTCGAATCCCTTTGGACGCTATTCTGTAACTTTGCCAAGAAAGATTTTCGATCATATTGTATGAAGAACCTAAGCAATAACTTCTAAATATATATACACAAAACAGTGACTGTGCGTCGGTGGCACGGCGGTTATAACTCTCGCCGACCATACACATGGTCTGGGGTTCGATCCCCTGCCAACGCACACCTGATATCAATATTCGGCCTGCAAAATTCGGTCTACCGATATCACATGCTGAAAATTTCATACTTGTACCGAAAAAACAAACGGTATGGAATGAAGCTATAATCAAAAATAAAATAAATACCGATAGATCAGTTGAATTATTCTTAATTATAAACTACATTGGTGACAAGAAGACAAGGATAATGAGGGTACCCATCGACCGACAACAACAAAAACAGGCCTCATTCATAATCAGTTGGAGAAATGGAAGGGAAGTCATTTCAGCAATAGGCAGACAACAGATATGAAAGCTGTCAGAACCAGCCAGGATTGGAAAAGCGAGAAAGGAGTTCATTACTGTGATATCATTGTGGAGATTTACAACATTTGGTATAAGGAATAAGATCCCAATATTTTAACACTAATGTCAAGTATATCAGTGCTTCTATATGGTGAATGCATCACATAAAGTATTTTCAAGAGGCTTCATACTTTCATCAACAGCTACATTTGCTGCCTCGATAATGAAGAAGAGATGTTCAGGGGGAAATGGCATTCACTGAGGGACAATCTTATTGCTGTCGGATGTTTTTTTCCTTCACGTTACCAGTGGAACATAGGGCTTCAAGCTAGTGGCTTGAAGTTTCTGTAGCAGTGTTTATTTTACAGGATGGGGTTGCTAGCCCCATGCCCAACCTTTCCTCTTCACCAGCACTAATTCTGGCTTAGCAAGGTAAAGGAGTGCGTCTGTGGCCGGGGATCGAACCCCGGACCATGTGCATGGTCGACGAGCGTCCTAACCGCTATGCCACCGACGCTGTCGGATGTAGTTAATTCTTATTTGTATGAAATGAGTAGAAGTCAGTGTAAAATGTTTGTCTGTAAAAGTTTCTGTGAAAAAGGAACGAATTATCTGTGATTCATGCATGTCACTGATGACAGTGATGAGACTTTCATTAGCAGAGATTGCTTATGATGTTCTCCTATTCGCCGAGTTACCTGGTCCGATTGAAAAGTGTTCATTGTCCTTTTGGAGAATATCTTCAGTGTAAACTTCATTTTCAAGTTGGCTTCATAAATAAATCACCTAGCTCAGGGAATAGGATAACATCAACAAGAGATACATTTTTCTCCATCTCTGTGTGTTATAAACCCGGTTATGCTGAAATGTATTGATATCCTTCAGAAAGTGTCACACAACAAACTAATCAGCTTTCTTTTACTGTTGAAAGCATCAGTTATTACTCAGGTGTATCTTTGACATTGTATTTTATTTGCAAATTCAGTTACTATTGTCTAACTGCAGAGAATCTGTCAACACTGAGAATTAGGCTTAAGACTAACTTTTGGCCTTAATTTTTTACGCTATCCTTCTATTCAGTTTTTAGTGGTTTTTGAATACTTATAAGCTATAAATGTGACATGCTGAAGTTTTCAAATAGTAGTAACAATATATCAATTAAACTCTCTATTTTCTTATGAAGTATTCTTTTTATTCATATTAAAGCTGCATGTCACAAACTGAAGCTCTAGAGAAATTTATTGAAGAGGCATCAAAGATTGAAACATATGGAATGGAACCATTTCAAGTGCAAGTGAGTGTGCTCAATGTTTTGTTTATGTATATTGAATACTTACTTATTTTAAAATGATGTTTAATTAAGTTTACAGATTAGATATCAATGGACGTTATGCCTATATATTCAATGATTCTTGCTCATTGATTCCTTATCTTTACATAACATAACACATTGTCTACCAACTGACTCAGTATTCTTAGCAGTGCATTTACGATAGCTATAAAAACGGAAGGCTGTTCTTGTCATTTTCTGCATATTTATTGGCTAATCTTACTTTCAGATGACTAGAATAAATCAATCACTCTTTAGTTGAGTATGTTTACTTAAAGTCAATCTATTCGGGCTTCAGTGTCACTTTAGTAACTTCAAGTTTCATAATACATCACGCTAATTATATTTACACTTAATATTGTAGAGTAAATGACAGCCGGTGTAAACTATTTTTGATATATTAGGAGAAAAATGAGGAGAGGGAATGCATTAAAACCCAATGCACCTTAATTTCACACAATTATTTATCTTCCAAAGTTAACTTTTCAAATTCTTTCTGGTTATATGCTTTTAAACTCCTGAAGTGAAGAAATTAGCAGGAGAGAGCTTCCTACTATCACCGATGATATTTCTAATTGTGGTGGACTGAGTAGTGTGGCACATCGTGGAGAGCGAGAGAACAGAAATACGCTGGATCGATATGAAGACTCTAGAAGATCTGGATTTCGTGGATGATTTATCTCTGGTGACACACAAACACAAAGACCTACAGGCGAAAACCAACCAGTTAGCAGCAGAAGTAGCGAAGAGAGAGAGCTTCAAGTGGATATGGAAACGACAGAGGTGATCAAAGTAACCAACCAAAAAAACAACAACAGGCACTGATCATCACCAGAGAAAGTAATTCGAACGAGGTCATTTGTTTCAGTTATTTGGGTAACATCGTTTCAACTACACATGGTATGGATGGGGATGTCAAAGCCAGGATCGAAAATGCAAGATAGACGTTGATTATTCTGAAATCAGTGTGGAAATCTGCTGTGATCAGCGCCAAGAACATGATTTGAATTTCCACGAGTAACGTCAAATCAACGCTTCTGTATGGTTCAGAGACTTGATTATCTCAAACTTTCGTCGACAGCTGCCTTAACTCCATACTAAAGATCACACGGCCGAACAAAAGGAATAAGCAGCAGGAAACTCTGAGAATTAACCAACCGAAAACTTGTTGCACAAAAGATATGTGGAAGGAAATCGAGACAGATCAAACACGTGTCGAGGAGACCGTTAAGTGATATCACACTCCAGGTCAGCGCCCGAGTGGAACCCGACTGGGAAAAGACGAGTTGGGTGTGGTCTCGAGGATGACGTGGAGCAGGGGACTAGAGCTTATGGGCATCCAAGAAGCCAGTTAAAGATAAGTGGGGAGAACATGATGAAAGGAAGATATGCTTTCGATACCATATGTTCCATTTAGAACCCAAGGGAATAACAATAACAATAAATTCTCTTAAAATAAACACTGTTTTAGTATACAAATATAAGTGCTAATGTGGAAATTCAGTATTGTGAAGGAAGCTGTATTCACTGTTTCTGTATCTGTAGTGGAATGGTTGAGTGTTTTTCTCTTAATACGTAAATGTTAGAACAAAAGCGGATTATGTACTCTAGATATTTCAGCTTATATGCAAAGTTTATTTGACAGGTTAAACAGTACAAGCAAAAGAGTCAATAACTGTAGTGTGGCGTTCATTTTATACATCTTATGAGAAATAGAAGCCGTTTTTTGTCTCTGGAAGTATTTAAGCTTACATTTACGTACCTGGAGTTGTTGTGTCATCCAAGCTGTCCTTCTAGACAATATCTTCAGCGCTTATAGAATAATTATAATTTCATATTACAAAACATAGAGACTCTGCCAATGAAGCACACTAATGGTCTTCGAGACTGCGTTGTAACCAGAAGGTCATGGACTCGAAATCCAGTGAATGAGCAGTGTCTCTGAGTCCCAAATTAGGACAAAACAGCTTTATAGTACTCTCTAGTTTTCAATGGTTCTCCAACTGATATCAACGCGTGATCGAACTTGAAACAAATCAGATCCCTTCAAACTAACTCTTGAAAACACGGAATAGTTATGATTTGAACACGCTAAAATAAAATAGTGGTGTAGATGTGTACTGCTATTTCTGTAGTGATGACTCAGCTACACCGATGTTTTCGTTGGATCTTACTTATAGGCTCATATAATGTTCACATATGCCTTCTAAATTAAAATCTCTTCCTGCAACAAATTATCTTAAATATGAGAACATTTTAACTTTAGAATTACTAGAAGAGTTTTGGCAAACAACAAATGCCATGGATCAGTAGGCTTGTCGTAAGGTTGACAGAGTCAACTACTGTCTTAGTGACCTCAATGATGGTTATGTTGAAGGTCATCGTTGAATACTGCGCTATACCAGGATGCCTATAAATAACGAAATACTAATTAGATAAACTCTGTTTGCATCATGGAAGTTTTTAAAAAAACCATAGAATCTGCAATGAACTCAGTGCTCACCTTTCATCATCCCTTTACCTTACTAATCATTTAAACCAATATCACTTGAGCACTTGAGTATTTCCGGTCTCTGTCAAGTTTTAACGCCACCAAGAAAATGGAATCATCGCAAAGAGAATTTCAGCCACCAAAATCTTTGTTTCATTGTTGCTTCAATTTAATTTACCGTTATTTTTTGTAAAGCAAAGACGTGTGCATCTGCAAAACTGCACGTAATCCAAAAAACAATGTGAAAGATTAACTCTAATATTTGTTATTCTGTACTTTTATAATATGACTAACTGGTCAAAGTACAACATATTTTTGCTAAATTATCGATCTATTCTTAAAGGTGTATACACTTCGTAATATTTTATATGATGCACATAAGTGAAGGTGGAAATTAGTAGCACACATTTCCCTGTTTACCCTACGATTGCTTCATTCACTGACGAAAAAAAAGCAAATCTAGAGTAACGTCTTTTTATTTCATTCCTTTCTGAATTGAGAATACACTAATCGATATATTTATAAAGTGCTGTGCTACTATTCGATAGCATACTTCTCCAAATACAGTCGATTCATGTCAAGGTTACACACCTAGTTTTCATAACAACTGATCGACTATATCATGAATGTGAAGAACTACTGTAAGGGGTGAACACACAAAAACACAGTGTTTAAGCTGGATGGAGCTGATAGAGTTATGTTTCATAACATATTTTCAATCCAGGAACTAAATATACAGTCAGATAAAAGGAACGAAAATAGGTGCGCCCATATCAGGACTAATTACTCAGGCCGTTATGCAAAGACTGGAAGTGGTAGCCCAAGCAAAAATCAGGCTAAACGTTTGGATACCTTGTGTTGATGACACATTTATCATAACTAGTAGAACTGATTTCGTATACACTCAAAGCTTAGTCCACAACATGTTTGAAGACATAAAAATCACACGAGAAGAAGAGGAATCAGCCAAAAAGATACTTTTCTTGGATGCCTTAGTCAATAGAAGAAACACTGGAAAATTAGAAACACAGATATACAAGAAATCAACCGACACAGATCACATACCCAAATACAACAGCAGTAACCTAAAAGAACTCAAAAGAAATTGTGTAAAAGCACTATTCAGTAAAAGGTAAAGCACACTGCAGTATTCTAGTCTTGAGGAGAATGGAAATACCTAATAACTGCCTTCAAAAAGAATGAATTAGCCTACAGTCCCATCAAAAAAGTCTGAACTCGAATTAAACTCCCAGCAAGAAGTCGTCATAAGAAACCACAAGACAACGCATCCTACCATACATGTAAAAATGTTTCTGCAATGAATGCTAGAATACTACAGACATGCGGAACAGATATATAGCACACTAACTGACGCGGTCACTGTAACCAAAAGACCCAGCAGCGAAAGAGGACAAGATCAATACCATCCACAAAATAGACTGCATGAACTGTGATGAACAATATGTTTGTTAAAGTGAGTGTCTGCTTAAACTCTAAATCCAGGAACATAAACTAGTTGTCAAAATACACCACATGTATTGTATCATATCGATACAGTAGACAACTATGGGTACTGGTTTGACTGATAAAATGTAGAAATTTTAAACACTGGAAACATTTAAGATTCCAGAGGGTTCTTAGAAGTATGGTATTGATAGATTAACCGACACATTACTATAGATCAGGTTCACTGACTAATAAAGAATAAGTCGTATGGGGAGTGAGAAGACAGGAATACGCTGGACCAACAGGAAGATTCTAGAAGTTCTGGATTTTGCAGATAACTCATGTTTATTGTCACGCAAACTCGAAGACTTACAGGCGAAAACCGACATACTGGTTGAAGAAGCATTAGGCGAAGAGAGGACGCTAAGAGAACATAGAGAAGAAGAGAGGTGATGAGGATAACCAACAAACAGCAACAGCAACAACAACCAGCATCAATCACTATGAACAGGGGTGATTTGACAGAGGTCACTTCATTCACTCATCTACGAAGCGCAGTTTCAACCACAGGAAACAACACCGATGAACATGTCAAAGACAGCCAGCCAGCCAGAATCGGAAAGGAAAGATACACTCCGATCAATCTGAAATCGCTTTCGATATCTTCTCCACTGCACTCAGCCAGTCAGCATAAAGATCACTTCTTCTATATGAGTCAGGAACCTCCGAAATGAGTAGGTCACGAACAGCATTTCCAACAGTCTAATGCAGAATTTTATCAACAGCTGACACCTTCACTGGCTCCATACTAAGGATCAAATCGATGGCCAGCCAGAAAGAATCAGCAAAAAGAAACTATGGCAACAAACCAACGAAGAGCCGACTGCTCAACAAATATGTAGGAGAGAATGGAAATGGATCGGACATATGTTGAGGAGACCGTCGAATGACATCGCGCGAAATGCAAGCCATCGCTCGAGTGGAATCCCAATGGGAAGAGACAAGTGGTTCGTCACTACAAGGGTGACATAGAGGAGATCGTGTGTCAAGGAGGAGATGAGAGATTAAGGGGAATCGTGGACCGAGGTGAAGAGGACAGTAGAAAATAGAAGAAAGTGGAGATGTGTGGTTGACGCCGTATGTTCTACTTGGAACCCAAGGGAATAATAATTATAAATAAACAAAAAAGGTCAAATTCGAAGACCATAGAAACAACTAGTACTGATACAAATTAACAACTAATCATTCATACAAAATTTAAATAACTTCACTTCATCATTGGAACTTGCACTGAAGATATTGTCTAGAAGGAAAATGTAGGCTTTGCATTTAGGTCGCCCAGCTCACAGAACGCAACCACACCAAAAGTATTCATACCGTCTAAATTTATTTTCAAGGTTGTTATTTTTCTAGAAGTACGAGCACAGAGAATCATTCTTTAGGGCGAAATGTCATTCCCATTCATTAACGAACATAATTGGATGAACAGTGGTTACTTGGAAGACCGGTATTTGTTGGTTTAACCTATATGATGATATGACTAGAGAGATTTCGTGCTACCCATCTCATTCTTTATCAGATAATATCAGTTTCATAAAGGATTTTGAATAAACCTATGGAATGCATCACTTAGAAATATATTTGCAAATAATATTAATTCTTTTAATATTCTACACATTATTCATAAGCTCGGCTCCTGACTTACTAAACACTCTTATCCTCTTGTCTGTCATGATTAATTTTTAACCTGAAGAAGAATTGTTCGGTGAAGTTAGTTATCAGTGCTTATATTGATTTCATTTAATAAAATGATACTTTAAGGTGTCTTATATGTTAGGTCCTATTCACGTGTTTTGATTTGTAGTTTCAATTAAGTCAGGGTAGTCGTCAAAATTCACGGGATATACAAATTATTTTTCACAATATTTTTAGTACTTTTAAATTTTATTGAACTACTCAACAGATGTGTTGGATATTTTTTAGTTTGTTTGATCACTTTGTACAGTAATTGTAACCTATGATAACTCAGATTTATTTGTTTATTCATTCTAAAAACCGATATGGTAGATGCCTCATTCCACTCGCATGAACCAATCACAGGTTGAACGTAGAGCCCTCCGGTTACTATTCATTCCCTGGGCGTTGAAATCCAAGACTAATGGGTCCTAACTTCTGTTGTTTTGAGGACTAATCTTGTTTAAAACTATATTAATTAGCAGCCCGATTCCTGAATTGCCGTCGCTTATATGATAATAGGTCTGATATTGATATGTTTACTTTTAAAGGCCATTGAAGTACTCTAACTCTGTAGATGATTACTCTGGTTTTCTAATGATCTAGTTCTTTTCCACACAGAGCCTTATTCTGATGTCGGATTGATCGTGAATTTCACACAATTTGTAGAAATCAATCTCAGCCTGAGTTTGAGTAGACCTGTCTATTCTAGTAATCCTTCTAACGGAATTATTGTCGACTATACACATTAAAAATTGAATTCTTACTTTGTTTCTATGGTTCTGATAATATTTACTGCTCCTCAAGCTATATTTATTCATATTTGATTCTTTCTTTTCTAAAAAATCCTCTATTGAGAAAAGTGTTCTCTTTGTTCATAAGTGTCATCAAAACGGGATAGTTTAAGTACTCGTTACAGTTATCATCCAAAACACAACCCATAATAAAACTCCACTTATTTACAAGGCGCTAGAATTAGTTTTTATCTGACTGAATGCTGTGTGTGTCAAAAACAATATAATGGCAGGGAATTTTTAATTTAAATTAATTAATAAAATGAAGGCAGTAGATAAAAAATTTTATTTGTGTAATCTTAGCACTTCATATTCCTTATCGATATTATTATTCCCTTGGATTCCGAGTAGAACATACGGCGTCAACCACACATCTCCACTTTCTTCTATTTTCTACTCTCCTCTTCACCTCGGTCCACGATTGCCCTTAATCTCTCATCTCCTCCTTGACACACGATCTCCTCTATGTCACCCTTGTAGTGACGAACCACTTATCTCTTCCCATTGGGATTCCACTCGAGCGATGGCTTGCATTTCGCGCGATGTCACTCGACGGTCTCCTCAACGTATGTCTGATCCACTTCCATTCTCTCCTACATATTTGTTGAGCAGTCTCGCTCTTCGTTGGTTTGTTGCCATAGTTTCCTTTTGCTGATTCTTTCTGGCTGACCATCCATTTGATCCTTGGTATGGAGCCAGTGAAGGTGGCAGTTGTTGATAAAATTCTGAATTCGCCTGTTGGAAATGCTGTTCGTGTCGCACTCATTTCGCAGGTTCCTGACTCATATAGAAGAAGTGACTGACTGACTTCACATTTGTGTTGGAAATCCGAATCTTGGTGTTTATGTTGACTGGCTGAGTGCAGTGGAGAAGATATCGAAAGCGATTTCAGATTGATCGGAGTGTATCTTGCCTTTCCGATTCTGGCTGGCTGGTTGGCTTTGACATGTTCATCGGTGTTGTTTCCTGTGGTTGAAATGATGCCTCCTGGATCAGTGAATGAAGTGACATATTTTGAATATTTCCTTATCGCGAACCTTTATAAACCACATATCAAGTGACTCACATCAGAAAGTTCAGCAGTTTGTCTGCAGTGAAATGAGGAGTAAGAAAGGATTGTCTACTATGAATGATGGCCTTGTAATTGTGATGGACTACATTATGCAGCAGACCTTGGGAAGTAAAAAGACGGCGTTACACTGGACTGATAAAAGACCCTAGAAGATATGGATTTCGTGGATGATTTATATCAATGTGTCACAAGTCTGAAAATACATAGGCAAAAAACAGCTCGTCAGTAGAGGCAATGAAGAAAGAAATTCAGGCAAAATATGGAAGGCATAGGTGGTAAAGATACCCAAAAATAAGCACTAATCACCATGAATACAAGAAATCTAAAGGAAGTAGTCTCTTTCACTTACCTGAACTGGGCAGCATTGTTTCATCCACAGAACTGTATAAGAATTTATCCAAACAGTACGAATGAGGATATCAAAGCCAGGAAAATAGGACAGGAGTTCATCAATATGTAGTCGGCGTAGAGACTCCTAAATGCACTGGCAGATAGCAAACTCACCAATAACCTCTTACTCAACAAAAATGCAGTAGGGAATGTAGGTGGATAAGACATACGATAATGAAAACTTCAAGTGCCATCACACCTCAGACTCTCTAATTGAACCCAAATAGGAGGCTACGGGTTAAACTTGGGTCTGAGGGTGACATGGAGGATATCATGTGAGGAGGAAATGAAAGCTTGTAAGTAGTAGTAGAGCCAACCGAAATTGATTGCAGGGAACATACTGCAACTGGAATGTGTCTCACAGTCCTTACAATCCACTTGAAATGGAAGGAATAAATACGCCATATCATCAGTGTCTAACATTAGTCGCAATAAAACATTCGTTTATTAGCAAATCTGCAAAGTTTACAGTGACTGTATTTAAGTAACACTTTTTTATTAAAGGAAAAAATAACTTGAAATAAAAATTTTTAAGGTGTTTCTGTACATGGCTACATCGTGGTGAGTCGGTGGTTCAATGATAGAGCTCTCGTCAAACATTCATAAACCTGACGTAGCCAGCAGTAATCCCTGAAAAGAGAGTTAGTTGGGTGTGAGGCCAGCAACCCTATCCCTTGATTAAAACACCACTACTACTGAAACTTCAAAGTTCAATCTTGAAGTTCCACGTTTCACTTGGAACGCTAAGGAATGAAAAAATATTATACCTTGACTTTGAACCTCTAACTAGTCCATTAAGCAGTCAAGCAAACAAAGGCATCACAGGTAACTGTAACACAAGTCATACAAATCACTGTGGAAATTCTAATTGGCAGCTGATTGTGTGTTTTATAAGCTTTTGGGAATTTATCTTCTGTTTATCTATTATGGATTACTGTTGGGATTTTTACAGCTCAAAATACTGTAAATTTTTTTTATTGTGGTTTACAATTTTCCTATACTTTTGCCCTACAGGACCAGAGACAAAATGGGCTATGCATTGGATTCAATTACAAAGGTATTTCAATATTCAAAGATGGTTTCAGTACCAATGTTTTTGAATGGTAAGTTACATTCCAAAACAAATTTTTAGAATAAATCTGAGGAAGATGTAATATTTCTTAATTATTTATGCCATTCAACATTTTAGTTTTATAAATTGAAACTAATGACACTTACCAAACACAATGACTAACCTTGATTTGGTGATATTAGATGGTTGGAGGCAATCGGCAGAAAGCTTTGCTTGACCTAGGTTTCATGCTAGTTGGCACTCACTAGTCAGCAAGGCGTATCTGCAACCTTCAAGGAACAACTCATGTCCCTTCTGAGATTCAAACCTGCGTCACCCAGTGAGAGCTGCAGTCAGAGACTTTACCACTGAGCTATTCAGACTCGCGATTGACCTCCTGTAGGAGTGTATTGGATACTTTGATTGGACACTAGTCAGTAACTAGTGTAATGTGTCTATTCCTTTTTTTCGTGCAGACTGAATTCTATCAGTCAGGTTTGCAATGTGGCCACCATTCTAGGTAGCTCGCCATCACACTAGTTACTAGTGTCCAATCAAAGTATAATGACTAACCATTTTAATATTTTACCTAAAGTTAACGTATAAATGATGGAAAATGAAATCATCCCATATACTACTACTAACTGTTTGATATGACTAGTTGGATATCATTCACAACAACCAGAAGTGTTTGCTAACCAGATTGAAGTGATCCAAACACTCGACTGCCGTTCCACTCGTTTGGGGCTGAGCACATCAAACGTGTACTCATATCAGTTAATCAGTAGTGTATAGCACCATGCAATTATGCTTGCTTTTTTGATTGTAATTTATGTTATCAAACGGGGCAACATTTTGTGATCTGAGTAATTTGAGTTTTCAGAGGAAACTGTGGGGACATTTCACTTCTACTGTAGGGTGCAGCAGGTCGGGTGTGAGGACAAATACTCACCCAAGACATTGGCTAGCGGTTGCGCTATGTCGTGAATTGGCAGAAGTTAGAATTCATGGGCCATTGGATCGGGTCCCAGTGGCTTAGTGGTCTACGAGCTCACTAGCCTTGTAACCAGAAGGTCCTGGGTTCGAATCCCGGTGAGTACGTACTGATGAAGAGTCCCAAACTAGGACGAAACAGCTGTCCAGTACTCCCAGGTTTTCCAATGGTTCTGTAACCAATGTCAGCTCATGATGAAATCCTGTAACCAATCAATCAAATCCCTACAAACCAACACTTGAAATAATTAACTTTAAAAAAATCTTACTTAACTGTGCACTAGAAGACTGTTTAATGTTCATGAAAAATCCCATCCGTGCCAAAAAAGATACTTTATATGAACCTCGACTTCAGAGGTAACCTACTCAGTGATATCCTTAAGAGGAGAATTTCCACTTCTTTAAGAAGAACTTTCTTCGCCGCAACACTGAGAGTAGTGTTCTTCAGTCGCCTGCTGATCTGCAGAAGCCCAAAGTACAAGATCTCGCACCTGATCACTTCTGTATGTATATATCAGTTCACCTGTTGCTGTGATGCCAGGTACATCGGTCGTTCGATGTGCATCCTGTCAAAAAGGGTCAAAGAACACTATCCAGAGTGGCTGCAGAAAGGAAGTAGTGGCCGTATAAGGAGTGCAATAATCGAATATCTTGTCACCACTGGGCAGAGTAATCTACAAAGTGAAGAACAACCTGCCAAAGACAATATGTTTCCGTATTATTTGCATTGCAGAAGCCCTAGCCATTCAGTTAGAAGAACCAGAGCTATGCATACAAAAGAAAATTATTCAGCCACTTCTAATATCATAGTAACAACTCTGTTGATCTGACTTAACTTTTGCTTGTTTGCTTGTTTTTCTAACTACTTAAAACTCTTGTATTCCTTTGAAACTCTTACGTAATTTCGCATTTTATTTTGTTTTCATGTACACCCTGAGCACTACTCTTTCATCAAACTATTCATGTTATTACGTAACTCTTCTTTAACAATCGTTTGTAACAAATCATCACTTTTGTTACTACCCTCTTATATCAACATCCAATTCCTCTGAATACTTTTTGTATTACGTAACTCCACCCAAAACTTACTAATTCTCACCTGTTTAGTTAAAATAACCATAACCAGTTGTATTTTTGTTTGATAAACTTAATGTACATATACATACAAAATAACCCATATATATTTGCGATTGTACAGCTAAGAAAATGAATTCACCGAAAAGAGACTCTTCACTGAACTGCTGGTCTTCTCTCTACTAATGTTTAATGTTCATCTTTACTTTTGGTATATGACCGTGGACATATCATCTCTAAACTTGATGACATCATCAGCACTAACCTACTAATCTAACTTCTTAACGAACATCAGACAATTCAAGTTCTCATCCTACTCTGTGAATCTCCTCTAATACTTAACCTTTTTTTAAAAAACACATTAGTACCTGATAGATTCATTACTCTAAACACTAAGTTTTTATATCCGGATCGCTAAGGCCTCGGCAATGCAAAGTATACGGAAGCTTACCGTTTCCGCAAGGCTTCTTTTAACCTTGCAGCTGACTTTGAATGATTTCTCCTTACATACTGAGTGACCAGTGTTGAATATATGTTCAATTATAGAACTCCTTATTGATCCACTGTTACCTTTTCGTAGCCAAGTGGGATAATATTCTTCGTACTATGTACCCAGTTTTTAGTCCATGAGTTGAAGCTCTGAAACTTGTTACACGAAATTTGCACCTAATCAATTGGATGGTGTCTTTACCTTTGAGAAATAGAGTTCAGTACATGGTCCGGGGTTCGATCCCCTGCCGACGCACACCCGATATCTATGGTCGGCCTGCAAAATTTGGGCTACCGATATCCATGCTGAAAATTCTATACTTGTACTGAAAATACGCTGTGGCATCAAGCTGTAATCAAAATATAAATATAAAAATATCAATATACACATATATATTTCATATTTAACAGATTCTATATAACTGTTAATTCATACTATGTGTCATACGCATATCTAAACTAAAGCGGAGAAGCGTGTACACTGTATTAATCTATAATGGTGATAACATTACTATTATTTAATGAGTTCCTTTTTTGAATCTGAACGGTCACAAAAGACAAGTATTTGTGAATTCATAATATTGTTGAAATTATAATTGATATAAGAAAATAAATGAAAAAAAAATAGATAAAAGTGCATGCGTAGGAGTAAAATGGATGTATTAAATTAAAATACTTTATCAATGACTGTTCTACGATGACCAGTTATAATTATATAATTAGTAGTTCAGAATTAATCATTTTAATGGTATTCAATAATGAGTTATCACTCATTGTTCAATGAAAATCACTTGTAAGCCAATATCAACCTGACAAATTAGAATTATCCGCGATACTTTTACAAACAACTAAGGCTATAATCTTTCATTTAAATTGAAAACCAGATTATTATGAGTAAGAAGACAGTACATACTACTATCCAATATGAGTAGTTGAAATCCACTCTTATCAAACAGTGTTTGTTGCTCAGCCAAAAGAGCTGAATCAGTTAGAGATGATTCTAGTTGGGACGCATAACCAGAACACTTTAGTTATATAAATTACTTTTAACTGTCATAGTCACCTTGATGTAATATGGTGGATGGTGAATAGCAGTCTATTCCTGGATGCTCATTTCATTCTATTTGGGGAGTCGTCATCTGGATGTACCTGTATTCCCCGTATCAGGTGCCAGTTATTATTTGTTTTTAATCCAGTTTTTGATTTCCCCCTTTGGTTGATTGGATAGAGATGTTCGAGTCTGTGGGGGAAAACTATCGTCCACTAGGGAATGCAGCACATTCAACTGGAGAGTCCCGAACAGGGAGAAATGTCACCATCCAGCAAGCTATTTCAAGTTAATCCTCAGAAATCGTCGAAGCCGTCGCACCATGAACCGATGTGTCAATGGAGACCACTCCCAGTGGAACACAGGGCTTCAAGCTAGAGCTTTGATGTTTCGGTAGCAGTCGTGTCTATTTTTACGTAGTGGAGTTGCTATCCTCCTACTCAACCTTCTCTCCTTGCAGGTCTTATTATAGGTTTAGCGAGTTAAAGGAAGAGTGCATCGACCGGGGATTGAATCCCGGACCACACGCGTGGTTGGTGTGCATTCTATCGCTAAGTCACTGACGCCACCTACGCTGATATTTACTTTTAATTAAATTCTAGACTACAAACAGAGTGTAAAAACTCGTATGGAATTCACATTGGGGGCTTTCATAGCTGTAAAAAATAAAGTTCTAATCTTATGCAATATATATCATTCATTGAATACTCCTTTGTTATATCACTGAATTGCAAATTACACAGCCCCATTATCATTTCCTTCGAAAACACAAGATATCCAGATCACAACATAGGATCTTGACGCCATGAGTGGTAATCAAGAAGAGAGGCAATGCATCAAGTTGCCGTCTACTAATGGATAATATGAATGACTGGAAACTACTCATGCCAAACAGTAGCATTCACTAGCGCGATAGAATTGATAAAAAGCAAAGAACGGCCATTTCTCTGGTTATGATCCAAGCAGGTCGTAGTTTGAGTGTTTCAAACGTCTTCCCCTATCTGAGCTGAGTCTAACCGGGTACACTGTTGAACAAGTCGTCTCCAAATAAGAGAATAGCCTATTCAATATTTATTTCATTTCAGTCTGACTAGTTAACATTACTTTTTCACATGAATGGATTTCAACTACTTGTATTATCTAGTAGTATGTACCTTCTCCTGACTCTTGATAGTCAGTTCTTCAGTTCAGAAGAAGATAACAGCTTTACTTATCTGTAAAGGTACATGAGATAATCTTCGTATGATAGATTGAGCAGTCATTGATAAAGTTTTTCTTTTTATTCCTTTACGTTCCTAGCGGAGCATAGATCTTCAAGCTAGAGACTTGAAATTTTAGTAGCGGTGGTGTTTATTTTTACGGAATGGGGTTGCTAGCTTCACGCCCAACCTCCCCTCTTTACCAGTCTTATTACCGGTCTAGCGAGGTTTGCGAGTTCATCGACCGGA